ACACACTGGACTTTGTAGCTCGTTTTAACAAAGGGAGGTGGATGAATTATGAGTACTCTTACATGACAGTCCTTGATGGGAGGAATGGTGATATCCTCTGGCGTATTAACTGCTCACAGGCTGCAATGTCATCACCAGTCACTGTTCATAGCAAGACTAGAGGAGATGATGGTTTCCTGTTTCTTGGAATCGGTTGTGGTAAAATGATTGATGATATCATTAATTCTGGTGAACGATCCTCTCATTCTCCAAATGATGGTAGGAGTAAAAGGTCCGCACAGTGTCCAGTGAAACACTTTGAAAGAGATAATGATAGATGTGTCTTTAATCCTCTTGATGTTCTATTGCATTCTCGTCAAAGAAGGCATGGTAATGATGATGGTTTGCTCCAAGGTTCCGGTGATAATGATGTCAGAATCCCTCCTCAGGAAAACATGATTGACATTGACTTTAGTGAGTATTATCCTGATGATCTGTGGGAGAGCAATGGACCAATGGATATCTTTCCTGATCCTGATGAGAGCCCAGAGTCTTTCATGAAGGATTACTGTGGATATGATCCTGATCTGTTGCAAGCTAATATTTACTTCTTGAACAGGAAATTAATAGAATCACTAACTGATGTTATACCAGTCATGTCCTTTGATACTTACATATACAGTAAGTTACTTAAGAACAATTTTCCTGATTCATATACATGTCGTTATGTTGGTAGAAAGCTTCAGTAGATTCCAATTAAGTTTGGATTTTTTGCAAATTTAATTCTAAAAAAATTCACTTATCTTTAATAAGCCATTGCTGCCCAAGATACATTCAAAAAATAATGTCCAAAAAATTTTTACTCATCATTCACAAAAATGTTGTACCACAAAAATTACAGTATTTTTTGGAACAATTTTCATTATTTTGTTTATAAAGTTAAAGTTTATTTTAATTGTTAGAGGCATCTCATAAAGACTTGAAGAAACGTCATGGTGAAAACAAGGGACCAACTGCAAGTGATACTGGAGAGCAATCAATGGAGGACATTGAACTAATGATGATAAAGAAACTAATGAAAGACCGCAAGGGACTTCGTTGTGCTCACATAATGGCCCCTGTACTATCAGCAGGGACTCCTGTTATTACTGACTCTGATGGAGATGGTAAAGTTGAAGCTATTGTGTCCCTTACTTATACAGCAGTACCTAGTGCTTATAGTGTAAAAGTACCGGGCTTCATTCATCCACCTCAACTTATTGTGCAGAGTTTGACTATTGAGAATAGACTGAAGGCTATTTATGGGACTCAGGTACAAGGAGTATCATCTGACTACTGGCCAATGGATAAACAACCTTGGACTGAATATATGGGGAGTGATGGTAATGGGGTTTATGTGAAGCATCCTAAATAACAATACATGTAGTAGCTAATGATAATGACCATAATAATGATGTAATAACAATAATAAAACAATCCTCTGTAATGCATGTATGATATTTTTCGTACTCTATTTTTTGTATTAATGCTTTTGTTTTAAAAACTAGAATTTATGTAAAAGTTTCAGGTTGAATTATCAACAATGATACATAGAATGATTGTAGTATTGATGAGATAGTCATTATATAGGACAGAGTGGATGATGGAAAGCGAATATCTACACTGTATAAAATTGATGGTATTGCTATATTGATGTTGAAATTTCTCTGTGTGTAGTACAAAGAGTTGTTTGATGAACTGTGTAGCAACTGGTCCACAGCCACTGGACGATGAAAAAACCAGAGGGAAAAGGTAGAATAGTACAGGGACTTTTGTCTGATTTGGCAGCAACTTTTAAAAATCATAAAAAATCCAAACATGATTGGAATCAGCTCAAACTTTCTACACAACATAAGTACATGTATATGTATCAAAAAATGTAACAAAATTGAGAAATTTTCTACTTGTCAATTTTTGCAAAATTTTACAAAAATCCCTGTACTATAGTACAGGGACTTTTGTCCGATTTTAGAGTAACTTTTAAAAAATCATAAAAAATTCAATCTTGATCGGAATCAGCTCAAACTTTCTACACAACCTAAGAGCATGTTGGATGGGCCAAAGTAGACAATACTGGGAACACCCACCAATCTCCTTAATTAATCATAAACAATATTGACACAGCATAGTGTATAATTGAACAATAATTATTAATTATAATTATAACACTAATAATTATTGTGGTATTACTAACCCAAAGCAAGGATCAGAATATATATTTAAATGTTAACACTCAGTAGCAGTTAGTCAGGCCTGCAGTTGCTTGATATTGTGTAGAAGATCATTCAAAGCTAACTTCTTAGCATCTTCTTCTAAAGGAGAGGACCCATGGCCTACTATAGGCATCTTGCTAGTATCATATCCAGTATTGTTAATGAATCCTTCACCTCCAGTGCTGTGAGCAAGACACAAGTACTGCATTGTTGAGGGATCATCTTTATCCACAGGATCTGTCTTCTGAACAATAAATTGAGGTGTGCTGCAATTATATGACATTATAATGTCAGTCAGATCCTCAATACTAGCATACTCCATAGACTCCTCCCTGTCTACTCTCAACGTCTTCATAACAGACAGGTCTAGATGCTCCACCTTCTCCCCTTCCTCCAGTTTCTCCAATAGATGAAGTACTTTCGTTAATTTTTCAATTACTTTACCAGCTGCTTCCATTTCAGCAGATTTGACTGTTTTTCCAAACCCTTTGTCCTCTGCTACTAACTCGTCTTCACTGTCCATCACACAACACTTGACAGTGTAATCCATTGAATGAGATGGTCCTGTCTGTGATATCTTTATGTATTTTGGTATTTCAAAGCCGTTACGCTGACAGAGTTCTTGTAGTTTATTCTTATTGTTACCTTCAACCAGAGGAGAGGGAGGAGGAGTCTCAGTCTCTCCTGGAGTCAGTGCAATGGTTTCATGCTGAGGGTTTTCAGTTTTTAGGAAGTCAAAGACCTTCTTTGCTGCTTCTATTTCTGCCACCTTCTTAGAGTTCCCAACCCCCACTCCCTCCCCAATGAGCTCTTCATAACATCGATACACAGTACACTTTATCTCAAACTGGAGCTGGTGAGCTGGGCCTGTAGTTCTTAGTACAGAATACGATGGTATACCCAAACCTTTTTTCTGGCAATACTCTTGAAGGTGTACTTTATAATTAGGCCCTTCTGGTGTCTTTGGTGAAGGTACAGCCTCTGAATCAGTAGCTTCTACCTCCTCATCAGTTATTTTTGTCATTATGTCTTGGGCAGCTTTCATTTTGGCCTCTTTCTTATTCTTCCCTTCTCCTCTACCAGTTACTGGTACTCTACCACTATCCTGCCCACGTACTGTCAGTGTACATACATACAGCCTATAGTGTGAGGGGCCTGTGTATTCATAGTTCTCCTCTATTTTCAGTCGATTCTTGGTACAGTAGCCATTCAAATCTACCATAGCATTGGAAGCCATTTTAAAATATTTCTTTTGACCACTCCCCCTTTGCTTTGTTGACACACCCATTGACTCTTGATGGCTCAGATAGAGTTTGACGAGGGAACTGGTACCTTTCCATATTTCATAGTCCTTCTCTACGGGGTATTCCTGCTAGTATTAACTTACTTCCTTTGGCCTAAGAGCAAGAAAAGTGAATTGAATTAGTACTGTATTGTGGGCTTTAATTAGAATATTAATGTTATTGTTTAGGAGATGACAGAG